AGGAATGCTGTATAATGGAAGCTGTACAATAATTAAGCAGAGATTGGTATTAACCATAAGTTGTGTTACCCAGGACGTGTACATGTTTCCATTAACTCTAACGTGAAGAGGTCTGAACATCTCACAAGCAGAACAGAGCCTTCACTCTACGTACAACATTCGCTTTCCTGTAGCTAGATAACCATGACCGATTAGTATTTTCCCTTGAGTTTCATTAATTTGTAGTGAAAATAAAACTCCGTTCAATATCAAGATTTTGCAGCCTAAGATCAAATGGGCTTCACTTTCAACAGGACTGTGTAATACACTACTTCAAGTTAACGCACAAGGAGCACAAACACCAATATGTACCAGAGAGAATGCACTAGCTTATTTGAAGTTATGTTGCGTTTTCAGCAAATCTAAAGATTCTGAACCCCACAAAAGACAAAGGCATGGTTAACTTAGTCTTTTCCCAAGAGCAACAATGGGTAGAAAAAGAAGTAAAAAAAAAAAAAAAAAAAACCTACTAGAATTAGCAGAGAGGTTCCCCAAGATGAGAGGGATGTTTTTGGTTGCTTGCTTTCATTAGTTTCTAATTATTGAAGGCATCTCCACTGTTACTTAGCAATTCCCAGAAGACTCCATCTTTCTGTCTCTTATGTGACATGTAGCTGTATGTCAAGAGTCCAGATTTCATTGCACAACGACAAGTCCTACATCCCATCATTAGTAAAACAGCAGGACTCAAACAACTTCCCATGTTTGACCTGCAGCCCTCCCTACTTGCCAATTCAAACAAAATGCCTGCAACAGTTTGCTATACCTACACTCAGAGTAACTTGCTCTGCTGAGTGCTTGATCTGCTCTGTTGACAAGAGGTATATGAAATGTAATCTGCATTGCATGGTCATCAATTTTAAAAGTCAACTTTTACTCTAATTACTTACTATGCCATTGGATTTTATTCTTTATATGTAGCTATCTGCATACATGTCCTCTGAGGGCTATCCGAGAGCAGCATTATGAAAAGGTGCTGCAAGGAGATATCAGGCAAGATCTGAAGGATCAGTTGCAGCATGTTCAGAGACTTGTTGTGAACCACCTTCCTTAAACATTTGATGGCAGCTGACTCCATCTGCTCTTTGGATGAGAATGACTCAAAATTATTATGTTTTCACCACATGGAAGTTCAACAAGCCATGAACAAGCCATATATCTGCTCTGGTGTGTGCCCCGAATTAGTAACAGGGAGAAGAATGGCAATAATGGGGAAAAAAGTCCCAGCTACCATCTCTCTATCCCCCATTGGTTCTCTTCCTCAGGAAAAGACCACCACCACCACCATCCCACCAAAAAATAACCCACCAGCAAAAAGATAGTCAGTGAAAAGATGAACAGGCACTCATCAGAACAAAAAGCAAATTTTGAAACACAGGAACTCGGCAATTTCCTTCAGCAAAACACAAAGGCATATTTAGAGCTTTCTGATCACTAAGGTAGTAATATATAACTACAGAACCTAATACCATTTCAAAATGGATAAAGACACCCAGGATAGCTACTCTTTTGCAGGCACAACCACATTGCACAGCTTCTTCAAAACAGATATGGTTCCCCAATACAAAATTGTTCTATAAAGTTTGAGATCAGATATCTAACAGAGCTATATTTATAGTCATGGCTACTATCAGCTGTCCAGCTGGAGAATATTGAAGAAAAACAAGCATTTTTAATATATTACAGTTAATTTATCATCTAAGTGACATGTGTAGGATAACAATAAACTGGAAAGAGTAAAGCAAAATGATGCATTAGAAAAGGAAATTTTAGGGTTATGTTGTTGTTTCCTTTTTTCTTTTTTTTTTTTTAAAATACAAGCCACATCAATTGTTAAGATGGTAAGAAAATTCATGAGAAGCACAAAAAATACAGTTGCTGGAGTAAACAGGAACTCTGAGATCAAGTGAGCAACAAAACGACTTATTTGCATTACTGTGATATAAAACACATCACCCAAACAAATAAACACTGCCCCCTTTATTTGGTGTATCAAAGACAACTCCTCTTTCCAGCAAGGGATAAACGTGAGAGAAACTTGCTGTGATAGAATTTACTTAGAGCTATTTCCTAGATTGCCAGACTGGAAGGAAAAAATTAGAGATCCTCAAAGCAGGTACCATGATCAGACAATCCTAACCTTTTTACTGGTCACAGTAGTTACAGTCTCCAAGTGTCCCCCTCTGATGACATGAGACATGACCTTTTTGGGTAGCCCTCAAAGCCTGCTTGCTCTAGCTGCTCTGAGGTAGTCCACACACAAAAAGCAAGGCACAAGGGAATAGTGCAACTCCCTATTACATGAAGCAGCAGTGAAGTTGCTTTGAAGAACAGGAACCTTACAGATATCCTGCTCACCACCACTTCTGACAGTCAGGCCCTCTCTGTTAATGGGGAAAACATCCCCTTGAGATTTGGGGTTACTGAACCTAACAGGTTAATGGAGTTTACACAGGCTTCACAGCCACAGAGGTGCTTTTAAGTCAATTAGAGATGCAGGTTTGTCAATTATATGGACTATTTCTAAAAAACACATTGGATCTCAATCCTGTATACATGATGAAACTGAGAAAACCTATCAGAGACATAGAGGTTTGGTGCCCACAGCCTAAAGGACAAATACGCCTCGAGTTTGGGGCAGTATCAGCTTTGAGAATTAAACAACTAGCAAGCATCATGCAAGACATTGCAAGACACACTGGCAGACCAAGTGGCAAAAGCTGGGTACCATGCACAGCTTCTAGAGTAGGTAGACAAGCAGATATTGTACAAACATAGACCAGTATAAATATGAGTACAAGCAGCAGCACTCTATATAGGACTCAAAATCCTCATGTCCTTTAGGCTCTAGCACTTCAATCATAATGTAAAACATATCAGACACAAGAAATAAGTCACTGATTTTGACAGAAGTAATTCTTAAATTATTCATTTAGCTAAACACAGTTACTTTAGCTAGATAATAATAATAAAAAAAATAGAATGGAATCAATCTTTTGTTTACGAAAGATTACATTTTACCTGAACAGCGAGGGAAGATGCATTATCAGAAAGCAAAATTTGTTCCTCTGTTGAAAGAAAGAAAAACAAAAAGCACAATTACAAAAAACAGTGCCCGTTTAGCTACTGACCTGTAACTTTAAGCCTTTCTGGGTTGCATTTCTTACGCATGAAACAAGGAGCACAGATATAATTATTATGCAGCTGGACTAGAAAACCTGTGATATGAATATTGAAAAAAAACAATACCAGGAATATTTCTCCTGCAAATGCAATTGCATTTATCATACATTACCACCAACGTACAATAAAAAATGCTCACAACTAAAAACCAAATGCTTGATTTATGCCAATTACTCTTCTTCTAATCAAAGTTAAATAAAACCACATCTTCATAACTCCTCTGGCTAAAAAGTAAAAGCATTCAGAAACCTATAAAAGCGGCTTGCAGTTAATATTGCACACTGTGTCTAGGTCTGTCACACAAAAGAAAGATGACAAGTTCACTGCAATAAAAATTCCATGCTTAGAAGACTAGGGCTGCTACCTATTAGTCTTCATTACTTTGCAGTCTTCTGACAACTGTAGCAGGCTGCTGAGCCCCAAATGGGGGCCATAATGTGATCTGATGATATATGAAGAGCTGCTAAAGGGAGCCTGAACCATCCTAGCCTATACATTTTAACAGTTCCTTTTTACTGAGAGCCCACTTTACCACAAGACTTCAAAAATCTGCTGCCTCAGCTATTGGTGCAGTAAATCTGCCAACTGTGCCTGCAACCACATAATTTTACACTGCCTACAGCAGCCAATATAATGAGTCAATAATAAACCAAGGACCTTATAGGCCACGAGTAGCTGGTTTATATTGGCAGATGCAGACGTAGCTAAAACCTCTGACCAGACAAACACCACAAAGGACTTTTTTAACAGTTTCTGTGCTTCTTTGCAGTCAATTATCTTAGTGCATATTTAATGTCTTTTCTTAAAAACAAAGTAATTATTAATTGCAAAAACCAGGGTACCCACCCTTTAGTTGCTGATATAACGCAGCATTTTCAGGCCAGGGCTCTGCAGCTGTGGAAAGAGGAGGAATTAATTAAACAAGCCAAACAACAATGCACTTGCAGATGCTAACTGAACACAAACGTTACCTAGAGCAGGAACTCAAACTGCAAAGATGCTGACACAAGATTTAACCTGCCCTAAAAACTTCCCACTGTCACTCTCCTCCCCTGGACTTCTCTCAGGCTGGCAGACGGACAACACGGAGCACAAAAGTAAGTCCCAAAATTTAATGTTGCAATAAACCTAAAATTCAAGCTATGTTACAGAATGGCCTTGTAATTCTCAAGCAGCTATTTTCCCTCCACCATGAAGACATCCTCGTACACATTCCTATCACAGTTCTGGCCACTCTCAAGACCAACTATTTATTAAGGTACTAACGAAGAATTCTGAAAAGAACAGAACAAGACAGAGGAGAGAGGTGCAAACCTCCAAACCAGGTGTGAAGAATGCTTTGGGGAACTGGAAAAGCTTTCTGCCTTTTAATTTTGTGTCCTCACTGGTCCTATATAATGCCCACAAAGCCAGGTGCTCAGGCATGTCAGAAACCCACCCACCAGGATGACTAGGACTACCTATTGCTTTAAATGATGTACTGGGGTCAACCCTAAAATGGGAATGTCAATATGCATTTAAAAACTGCATCATCAGTTGTTCAAAACAGTGGAACAGCCGTTTAAAAAAAAAGAAAAAAAAGCAAGGAAAAAAAAATTACAGTTGTCTGTTCCAGTTGAGAACCGTTGCACTTAATCACACCACACCTGAATTTATGGGAAGGCAAAAATAATAATCACTACTGATTTACTCTTAACGGTAGCATTAAGATAACAGGTCATCACATTGTTTTCTCTCCACTACACTCCTTCTTAATGTCTGATTAAAAATCTATTTTTAAATACAAATTTCATCCTTGCGTTCTACCCAGCCTAGCTATTTGTAAACAAGATTAATGCTCTAATCGCATAAATTATTTTTAAAAGCAGTTCTATAAATAACTACATGTGGTTCCAAAATAAATATGCCACTGACTTCAGTAAGGTCAATCTTTGTCCTCAGAAGTCAAAAAAAAAAAAATAAAGCAAGCACAATTTTCTCACTGTCATTCTTTTTGGACACTGAAGAAGTATCCACTTTTATGTAAGTCACACAGAACTGTGAAGCTTCTAACACCGTACAGTGTTTTGCTAAGGTCACTGCCTCTAACATTAAGGCACAGAGCCTATCAAAGCTATACTAGTATGGGCATGAGAAAGCAACTAATCATACTTAAGTGTCATGAAAAAATGTTTTATGTTTTATTGTAGCGGTTATTGGTTTTACACCCCTCCATTAAAGTTTTGCCCTGGAGTAAAAATTCTTGAGGTGGAAGTACCTTTACTTCTTTAAATAAAAAGAGACTAAGATAGGGTCTGCAGAACTACAGCCTCAACTGTTTAAAATAATTTCTCTAACACACATTTCTTCAGGTCCGCTCAAATCTTGCAAGAGCAAATGGAATGAGGAAATTAAGAATGTTACTACTATAATTTAGCTCAACTCTGAGATACTTACCGAAGTAACTAATTCACAAAGGCAGACTGATATAATAAATATGCCAACCAACCAGTGAAAACATCCTTTTTACATACCCAAAATGAAACAGAGAACTTCAAACTGCATGGGCCCACTTCTACTGAAAATTTTTGCCTGACCCTCTTCAGGCTGAAATGACAGATTTATATCTATTTCTTGGATTCTGGCCCAACCTTGAAGTGGCCTACTTTTACACAAGTACATGGCTGAAATATTTCAGGCCCAGAAAAATCAAGTAAAATTTCATTTTCTAGCAAAAGAGCTACCTATATTTCTAGAAATTCATATATTAATTCCAGTCTGATCTTGGCTCTGAGAGAGAGAGAGAGAGAGAGAGAGAGAGAGAGAGAGAGAGAGAGCGCAAGCAGCTTCTTGGCACGCAGACTCCAAAACTACACTGCTAAGGCATCCCATATACATGCTAAAAAATAAAACACAAGTAGAGTATTTTTTGTAACTTGTTTGCCCTTATCAGCTTAATTTTTTCTTCCACGTTCTACTGGCCACATGCAGATTTTCATGAACCATATTTGCTGACCCTAATTTCGTCAGTCATGATATGAAGTCTTTATCCCACAGGCTTAGTACACAGGAGCACACACCCAACTGGAGGACAGGAAAAGAGAAAGGTAGTTTAATATTTCTGCATTCACTCATTCACAGTTCAGTTGTGTACTAATATATGTCTTTTGACAAGTAAATGAAACAAGGACAAACAGCCACATGAAAATCTCAGCCTTCATTATTAGGACACCGTGAACTCCAAATTTCAGCAGTTCTAAGAAACTGAATGAATAATGCCCCCTGCACTTGGTCCCTGACAATCTCCAGAGGGAAGTCACAACTCTGACCATGTTTGGATGAGGTGGACCCATACTCATGAGATGGGAACCAAGGCCTTGAGTTCTTTGTACACAGATCAGAGAACTGATTTTGCTATCACTGTATAAACTGGATTTTAAAACAATCACCTTCATGTTGAGATTCGCATACTATTACTCCTATCCTAGAAAAAAAAATATTCTGCAGCATGCACTCAGAACTGAATGCAGCAGATCATGTTTAATGAGACCAGAGGTACACACACAAAGCCTGTGCAATCATCTGGAAATCAAAGACTTAAACACCCACTCACTATCTGTCCCATATCTTCCAATTTCTACTTGCTCTTTCTCCCAAAATATTTACAGTATTAATTTTTTTCTTCTAATGGAACAAGAGGTTTAAATACACAGTACTACATGAGAAGTCCGGGTTCATAAGGTGCAAGCTAAATTCAAGTATCAGTTCCCAAACAGTCTTTGGTAAGTTGTAAGGTGAAAACATGCAGCAAAGGGAGCCCAGAACCCCGCTGGGGGAAGAGAGGAGGAGGGATTGCTGAAGGGATGTCATGTGCCTCCCCAAGAGGGGAAAGTGTGTAACATCTTTAATGTACAGCAATGATTCTTGCCTTATGAATGTAGGTGAAGACATAATTTGTAGAATAATAGGCACTAATATTACACGCTGCTTCAGTTCTGTCATATTTCCAATCCATCAAGTTGATTAATGCTATAATAACTCCTCACAAACTTATCATTTGTGCACTAATGAAGTCAAATCCAGTTTATCCTTTGGCAACTATAATCTTCTGGTCGGTAGATGTTCGCTTCCCTGCTAACCGTGGCTGCTGTGGCACTAGGTATATGAAGAGAAAATTAACAAATGTGATGTCAATTCAGTTTCAGAAGCTTTCAACAGAGTGGCATTTATGTGTTAGATCCTACGCAACAGACATTTTTATCGTTAGCTGCTCACAGGATGAAATAACTGCCTGGAAGTATGCCTTACAGGAATAGCTTCTCTACATATCTTAAGAATAAGGAACTATTTGGTTCTTCCTTCTGCCTCCATAATTAGAGGAACTACTATTGTGTGGTTTCCAATGGGTCTCTCTCCCAGGCTTGCAGTTTTTATCCCACCCTACTGAAACTTTTCCCATGCTTAACACATTCAAATGTTGAGTCTTTCATGTGGATTGCCTGCTGTTTGTTCAGGAGAAGCAAAGCTCATACTGCGGTCTTTCTTTACTTCTCTTCTACCACACTGGTTGGCTTAATGTCAGTTAGAGGAAAGAATCATCTGCAGGATCAGTTATCCCTGTTAAATTTGTCTGAAATGAGCCCGAGTTCAAAAGTTACTGGGAAGTGAGAATTAAAGGGAGACAGACACAGAAAGCATCACTGCATAAGCCTTGTTATCCTAGGAGCTGAGAATTTGGCAGATGCAGCGTCACAAATGGAGAAATCCAACAGCAAGTAGACCACCTACATAAAAACATCTTTGATTTTATGGATGACTAAAAATGCATGAAAATTTCACCAAGCTCAATGTGTTTGTTAGTCAAAGTGGTTTACTTATTAACAGTTTAGCATAGAAAGTGCAGATTTCAAAGTGTTGACAGGGCTCTTAGGTGTCAAATTAGACTTTTAGAAGAAAATTCTGTGAACTGATGTGTTGCATGTTCCCCATGGAGCTCTAATTACCCAGGATTGTAAGTACCTATTAAAATAGATTCCTAGGCTCCTCACCTGTCATGTCAAAGAATACCTGAGAAAATATATCACTACTATGCTTACAAAAAAAACTCCCAAAACACAGAACTAGTCATGAAAGTCACATCAAATTCTTTGCCACTAAAAATGTATTTTTATTAGGGGCATTTCTCAGATTTTGTGATGAAATATTTTACTTGAGCAACCTTAAGGCCAGAGGCAGATATTCAAATAGCATTCTGATTTCAGTGTTTCCAGATGTTTCCATAGTATTTTATCCATCCCAACATTTTTGGGACATCAAGGGAGAATCACAGAATCACAGAATGTTAGGGGTTAGAATGGACCTCCAGAGATCATTGAGTCCAACCCCCCTGGCAGAGCAGGACAAGCTAGTCTAGGCCAGGTCACACAGGAACACAGACAGACGGGTCTTAAAAGTCTCCAGGGGAGGAGACTCCACAACCTCCCTGGGGAGCCTGTTCCAGTGCTCTGGAACCCTTACAGTAAAGAAGTTCATCCTCATGTTGAGGTGGAACTTCCTGTGCTCCAGCTTGTATCCATTGCCCCTTGTCCTATCTCAGGCTACAGATTGTGTAAGTGAAAACAGGTTGACCCTTCCTTCCTGACACCCAGCCCTCATATATTTGTGCACATTAATTAGATCACCCCTAAATCTCCTCCAGACTAAACAGCCCCAGGTCTCTCAGCCTCTCCTCATAAGGCAGGTGTTCCAGTCCCCCAGTCATCCTTGTAGCCCTTCGCTGGACTCTCTCGAGCAGATCTCTGTCCCTCTTGAAATGGGGAGCCCAGAACTGGACACAATACTCCAGGTGAGGTGTCACCAGGGCAGAGTAGAGGGGGAGCAGGACCTCCCTTGTTCTGCTGGACACACTTCTCTTA